AGACCTCGTCTCTACAATAAATCAAAAAATTAGCCAGGCATGGTGGCATGTGCCTGTAGTTCCAGCTACTTGGAAGGCTGAGGCAGAAGGATGAGGCAGAAGGTTGAGGCTGCGGTGGCCATGAGCGTGCCACTCCATTCCAGCCTGGGTGACAGAGAAACTCCCAGTCAAAAAAAAAAAAAAGCAAGCTAGAAAGAAGCAAGATTCAAACTGTCTTCTAAAGTGACTGTACCATTAAAAAAAAAAACCCAAAACAAAAAACTGCGTGGTACCACGTGCCTTTAGTCCCGACTGAAGCTGAAGGATCACTTGAGTCCAGGAGGTTGCGGCAGCGGTAAGCTATGATTACAGTAATGCATGGCAGCCTAGGCGACGGAGCGAGCTTCTGTCTCCAAAAATAATTTTTGCTTTTGAAAAACAAATAGGTAAAAGAATCGTTAACAGCAGGGCAAATGTTGAATACTTAAAAGGGAAAAAAGAAAAGGAAACCCGTAGAAGTGCTAGGCGGGCCCGAAGAAATCAGTTTTTTAAAGAACTCCCAGGGTCGCTGGATACCAGGGCGTGGGAGACCAAGCAGCCTGCGGCCCTCTCACCCCGGAGGTACGGAGGAGACCCCGCGACCCGGTGCCCCGAAGCCGACACCGCTGCGCAGGACACGTTCGGAGCTGCAGGAGGCCCGGGAGCCTAGAGCGCACCAGCCTGCGCAGCGCAGGGACGCCGGAAAAGGTCGCCTAGGCAACGATGCTGCTCCGCCCCACCCCGCCCCGCCCCAAGTTCACGACGCCTCCGGCGATTGGCTAGAGCCCCGCTAGCCGCGCCCCTCCACTCAGTTTCGCCCTCTGGGGCCCCGCCCAGCCGCCCTCACCTGCACGTTTCCGTCAGCGCCACCCGGGGTCTACTACGCTGAGAAGGGAGGGTCGCCCGTGGGCAGGCCGTCCTGGCCGGTGTCCCCGCGTTTCCTGTCCGGCTGCCCCAGTGCAACTTCCGGTTTTCTCTCTCCGTCTGTTTCTGCCTCTCTCCCCCACTCCTTCCCTCTCTCCTCTCTCTCTTCCTCTCACCCTATCCCCTTCTCTCCCCTCTCTCCCCTCTCCCCCCTCTCCCTTCTTTCCCCCCTCTCCCTTCTTTCCCCCCCTCTCCCTTCTTTCCCCCCTCCCTCTCCCTCTCTCTCGGCTCCCCACTTGTCCGGCCTGGGGGTAAGGAACAACCGGAGCAGTGAGGAAGGCTGGGCGAGGGCGCTCCAGGCTCGAATTGGCTTCCACCTGCGGGGAAAGTGAGGCTGCCTGCCGTACTCCGCCGGAGAGCACCGGGGCCGCTTCCATGCATGGGACTCGGGTGTCTTAATTAAGGGAGAACCGACCCTCCGGGGAGAGGATCCAGATGGAACAAGCGCCAAGCCCGTTGGGCTCCCGGGCCAGCCTCCTGGGACGAGAGTGTACACCACTCATCTGTTTGGGGTGTTGTTATTTGTGTGTGAGATATATCTTACAGATTGTTCAACATGAAAAACATGAGGCCGGGCATGGTGGCTCACGCCCATAATCCCAGCACTTTGGAAGGCCGAAGTGAGAGGATTGCCGGAGCCCACGTGTTCGAGACCAGCCTGGGCAACTTGGCAAGACCTCATCTTTACAGTCAATCAAAAAATTAGCCGGGCATGGTAGTGCCTGCCTGTGGCTCCAGCTACTTAGAAGGCTGAGACGGAAGGATCGTCTGAGCCCAGCAGGTGGAGGCCCCAGTCCCCGTGAACGTGCCACTGCACTCCAGCCTGGGCAACAGAATGAGACTGACTCAAAAAAAAAAAAAAGAAAGAAAGAAAAATAAAAAAAGAAATAAAGAAAAGAAAAGAAAAACAATGAGAAAATAATAATCGAAGAAAGAAAACCATTCAGCGTTGCCTTTTTTTGTTGTTGTTGTTGTTGCTTGAGTTGGAGTCTCACTGTCGCCCAGACTGAAGTGCAGTGGCCGCTGGGCTCTGGCGATCCTTCCGCCTCAGCCTTCCAAGTAGCTGGAGTTACAGGCATGCGCTACCATGCCCAGCTGATTTTTTGATTTATTGTAGAGATGAGGTCTTGCTGCCCAGGCGGGTCTCGAACCCGTGGGCTCAGGCAATGTTGTTGTTTTTAACCAAGACATATCCTGCCCTGCTCTATGAGTCTATCTCAGTTTCCCTAACCAGGCCCCTACTCGCCACCCAATGCTCGACGCTGTGCCTTGCAGCACTTGGAACTACCCGAGCAGCTCTTATGGGGAAGGCTTTACTCTTTTGTAGTGAATAAATGAGAGGACATCGGAGCTTGCAGGTATGGGCGGGCAGGCTGTCCTCATGCACCCACAGGAGGGCCTCCAGCTCCAGGCCCCTGGCCCAAGCTTGACTTCTGGATCCCAGCCCTGGTGCTGGCTGGGCAGCCTGCCCATCACATTTGGGGGAAAAACAGTGTTTTTCTGCCCCGGACATGCCCAGGAGGACAGGAAGGGCATTTCTAGGTAGCAACACCAAGGGCTTCTTTCTCAAGGTTGATAGCTGGCAGCTTCGGCTTCAACTAGGCAAGCTGTGGACCAGAAAACCCTAAACACCTACACACCAGCATCTAGCCCATTGTTTCTACTTGGGAGCTAACAGAACAGATAGAGACGCGCTGTTGGATGCACTGTTGGAACTCAGCTCAGTAGTCCCTCATGCAGGCTTTAGGGCCTGTCCTTTGAAGTGGAAATCCCTTTAGAGGTTGGTGCATTTTTTGGAAACCAGAACATTTGTCATCAGCCCAAAATACCCCTCGCTG